GGCTGAAGCCCCTTGGCGGACCCCAGCGTGGCCTTGAAGCGCGTCAAGCGTGCCCTTTCCGCATCACGCTTCACCTTGAAGAAGGAAGCGTGACTTGAGGGGGCGTGTTGTTGCCTTGCCACGGCGCTGCGTGGGATGAGCTTGATGACGCCGTTGCGCTCCATTGCCCCCGATTTTCCTTCCAAGCATGCCTGAGTCCCCTGCTTGCGGTGCTGGCTTTTGAGGGGCTTGCTTGATGCTGCCGGGTTCCGGGAGGCGGGGGTCGCCACTGCTGCTTGCTGGGAACGCGCCTGCCTTGGGGGTCGCTTGCATCTGTTTGTGTCGGGGGTCGTAGTTGGCGTCGTTGGGTGTCGCTGCTTGCTTTGGCGTCCAAAGTCCCGGGAACCAGGGAAGTCTGTCTCGACATCCTTCGTCCCTGCTCCTTCGTCGATGTGAACCCGTTGGGTGGCTCACCGTCAGTGGGTGCTGTTGCTGCTGTCACGTGCACTGGGGAAGCTGGGAGCATGGACGATGTCGTGGATGTCTGCACTTGCTCCTCCCCCTCATCCACGACATCATCGGCCTTGGAGAAGGGAAGGAAGCGGACGTGGATGGAGGACACAACGGTGTTTGTGTCTTCAAAGTAGACGAGGTGGCTGTTGCTGCTGCTGTTGTGGCCGACGTAGATGCCTCGGCGGCCCTTGGGCTGCAGGCGTCCGCGCTGTGTGCTGATGTGGACGACGGCCGGCTGCCCGAAGACGTGCAGCTGTGGCACGTGCTTGGGCAGCGCGCCCGTGACAATCTGCAGCGGTGTCTTGCCGTGGAGGGAAGGGCGAGGCATGTTGTTGAGGATGTGGAGGGCGTGGTTGCAGGCGAGGCTCCAGTACGATGCGTCGAGGCCTGCACCCGTGATCATGGCTCGCACCATGTCGGAGAGGGTGCGCACCTGTCGCTCGACGATGCCGTTCTGCGCCTGGGTGTACGGCGGGGACTGCTGGTGCTGCTTCAGGTGCTTCTTGACGATGGCCTGGAAGTCAGCTCCGAGGAAGATGGCATCGGAATCCGTCTGGAGTGCTGTTGTTGTGGGCGAGATGGGGAGCTTGGTCTCGCGCAGGAAAGACTGGAACGCGGCAACTGCGTCCTTCTTGGCATTGAGATGGACTGCATGCAGGAGCTTGCTGCCCTCATCGACGATGACGAGGCTGTAGCGCTTGCCCGTGGGTGAGTCCGCGGTCCAGTCGACGATGTCGGCGTGGATGCGCTCGCCGGGCACCTGTGTGCGCTCCGCGTGCTTGCTGACGCTGTGACGAGTGCTCTTGGTCACTGCACACGTTGCGCACTGCTTGCTGCTGATGGCGTTGCGATCGTCGATGCCCATCAGCTTGCAGTACTGCTGCACGTCGTTGTCGTTGCGGTGGCCAAGCACCTCATGCATCGATGGTGTCTGCACCTTGCTCTGGGCTGCAGGAGCTGCTGCGGGTTGCTGTGGTTGCTTGCAGGCATCGGCGGTGAGACCGTGTGCCGTGGATGGACCAACAGCAACAATGGGCCAGCATCGGAGGCTGCTGCGCTCCTTCAGCTTGACCTCGGCTCCGTGGCTGAAGCGCACGTAGTGCCCATCAGCGCCATCACGCTGCGAGTGGCCCGTTGGCCTGCCGCTGCTGTCCCTGGTCAGACGACCGAGGGCGATGAGGTTGGCCTGGCCCTCGGGCACGTAGAGGCACTCCTGCAACACAATCTGCATCGTGGCTCCGCTCGTCGTGCGTGCATGCAACAGCACAGAGCCAACACCGCGCACGGGCACACGTGTGCCGCCAAACGCAGTGATGTGGCGTGGATGATGCTGT